AATCCTCAATAACGTCGCTTTCCTGACTGTCAACGAAATCACCGCCCCAATCTTCAGCGCCCTCTCCATCCTCACCTGGAGGGTAAATAGAATCATTTCAGGCCTCATCCTCAAGATGATCTGTATTCTCCTCCCCGTTCTTATATTCTTCGCCGGGGTGAGGCATAGCCCGGTCGTAACCATAAGCAATTCGAGCCTCGTGAGCCTTGACCCGAGCATCCTCAAGGGGCGCCCCAAAAACAGAGCCCTTCGCACGCAACTCACGAAGCACATCCAGTCGGGCCTCGGCATGAATCTATTCTTCATACAGCTCACATTGGACGTTGGGGAAGCCAGAAGTCATAGATAAAGAAGATCGTGCAAGAAGTTGGGCCTTCTCGGCCTCTAGAGCAGTAACTCGATCATAAAGATCGGAGGTCTCTTTTTCCAACTCCCCAATCCTTTCATCAAGTTTTTCCTCTTTAGCCCTCGCCATTGACATGTCATTTTCTCGCTTAGAACGGAGATTTCGGTTCGCTAATTCAAGAAACTCCACCATCCTTAGAGCCTCCGACCGAGCAATCTATGACTTATCGAGCTCCTCTTGCTTCTTGGTGACCTCACCACTAAGAGCCTCTGCCTTGAACTGGCACTCTTCAAGTTCACCTTGCAACTGGACCACTTGAGCTTGGAGATCGATGCATTGGGCCTCTATACCCCTACTAAGTTCAAGTTCCTCATCTTTTCTCCTCAATGTCCCTTCAAGGATGCTACATTTCTCTGTAACCTGCATCATCTCCTCGTCCCTCTTCTTTAAGTCCTCCCTCAGGACCTACACATCGCCGCCTTTGCGAAGCCGACACCGGAGCTCTCAGTACTTCCTAAGGCACGTGGTGTACTTGTCTTTCAGCTTCACGCAAATTTCTTTACGTCTCCTCTCCCGTCGAGCACTCTCAATCTCTAGAATAACCGTCTATAAAGCAAAGAAAAGGTGTTAGAACTTACAAAGAAACTAAGGCATAAGGAAAGGAACATACGATAGTCGTACTTACCCTGAGAGCGAGGCCATCAATATTATTTAACAGAGTACTGTCGTTTATCGTCTCGAGGGTCGTACCTGCAATCTCATAACAAAGAGGACCGAGGGAAGGTACTACTCCCTCGGTATTTACAAGTAGATTACTATCCATTAGGATCGTAATAGTCCTGGAACAGCTTTCCAACCTCACATCAAGTTGAGTAAGTCCCCCATCGATCATCCTCCATTCGTCCAGATCCATATTAGAGTCGGACCCGACGTCCTCTTCAGCAAAAATCTTCCCTTTGTCATCAGCAGATGAGGGGACATCTACTGCAGCCCTAGAAGTCATCTTACCTCGGAAGTGCGAAGCCGTCGTCGGGCATCCCATCTTCAACCGTCTTCCCCGCGGGATGCACCAATACATCCACATTTGTCTCCTCCAAATACGGGACCTCAGAGTCCACCCCAGTGCTCTCTCAAACATGCACTGTGGTCGTCTCTCAAAGAACGAAGTTGCCTTCTTCTAAGTCGACGACTACCAGCCTTTCTCCTCCTGTATCTATGGCTCTCCTCTTACGAGGAATTAGACCACAATCCTCAGGAGAGAGATCATCGTCCTCATCAATCAATGAAAAGAATTGAGGAGCGAAAGCAGCGAACGGAACGAAGGTAGGTTTTTGGACTGCGGTAGCCGGGGGAGGGGTCGATACAGAAGGGGAGATAGTCGCAATAGGGGCAGACGCCAGAGGTGCAGCAGCCTTCCTCTGAAAGGATAGCACCGGTGCCCGGCTCCTTCGAGAAGAACCCCTGCCTAAGAAAGAGACAAACGTTGAAGTTAGTAAAATGAATTAGCATACAACAAAAAATGAAATGACCACTGCCAAATAGAAGAAGTTACATGTCGAAGGAAGAACCGGTTTGAACTTCTTGATGAAGCTCGGCTAGTGGTGGATTCCTACGACGTGGGGGAAAATTTGCTCGACCCAGTCAGAAATGCGCGTGACTAAAAGGGGAGGCTGATTGTTGGCTGCAAGAAAATGAGAGTCCTTCAACTAATTCTGAGCAAATAAAAGAACGCAATTAAAAATCGGGCACTTACGTGTGTAATTCCAAGCCTCAGGAAAGCCATCGGCATTAGCCACAACGTCCTCAGTCGTGACGTAGAAGAAATTGAGCCGGAATTGGCGACTGGCCTAATCGTTTGTCTTCACCACCAAGCATTTGCCTCCATGATGGCGAAAATTCAGCATTGTTCCCATATAGAAGCTAGGGGCGAAGAGATATACCAAATAATGCAGCGTCAGTTCGACCCCAGCCAGCTTAGCAAGTTTGGTCAACATTCTAATATTCTTGTAGACGTATGGCGCACACTGAGCAGGGTAGACGCCGTAGTGACGATAAAATTCCTCCACCAATGGAAGGAGGTGGAAAGAATAACCGATAAGGGAGGGATATGCGTATAGAGCACAATATCTAGGGCCATGAACCTGCACCACGTCCCTACCAGCCGGGATCAGTTCGACGTGATTTGGAAGGCCGAACTTGGCCTTGAGTTCCGCCAATTCTTTAGACGTCATCGTCAATAAGAAAATCCCGGGAGCAGCGTTTGGTGATCAGGTGAGGTCAGACCTAATATCGGGATTGCAAGGGATTATTTCCTCCACTGACAGGAATGCTTCATCCTCAACAATAGCAGAAACACCCTCCCCATGGGAAGGAAACACAACTGCCAAAGGAGTAATGCGGCTCCCTTCACCAGCGTCTGAGGGTAAGCTGGACATGATTTAAAGTGATGAAGAAAAATAACAAATGGAAAAAATAGGGATGATGTAGGGAAACAAAATAAGGAAATGAAGTTCAAAGAAGCGAAATACTGAGAATAAGGTTGGTGTACTAAAAAGATAAGAAGAAACAAACTAAAAATTCAGGTTCAAGAATCCCTATTTATAGAGATCATGGCACTAGATGCAAAAACGACTCGTCATAATTGGCAACGGAATCGAAACGGCAAATCCAATCAAGGGTCACACATGAATTGAAGCTGCGCATCGAGAAAATATGTCATAATGACGCATGATGTCCATGACATCATTCTCACCCATGTACAAGATAACTCCAATAAATCACTCGGGAAAATTGAGGCATTTGAAATATATGGCCCATAAAGGGCCATGTTGCCTATTCATCACAATGACTATGACCCTTATAGCTTACTCGATAAGTTTGACCACGAACGACATTATTCGCTCATTAAGCTCACCTACAAGGACGACCTCAATAAGTAGAGGGACTAACTGTATGGATCAAAAATTATTTTTGACATGATCAAACCCTGTTAACATTAAAGAGGAACTCGCAAACTGCCACATGATATCAGTACGACTTTAATAAAGACCTGCCCAAGGTCGAAGTGGTCCATGACGCGATGAAGGTTGCGGTCGAAGAGTCAGCGAAGATCAAGATTGGGGAATCGTCATAGATCAAGTTCGAGGTTGAGCATCTTAGACATAGTTATAACGACCAGTTTTAAGATAGGACATAAAAGAGAATATTCTAGTAAATATTCTCTGCATCTGTACTACTAGAGTTTTTAGCAATATGTTCCCAATAAATAGAAAGAGACGCAATGATAGAGGACATAAGATATTCACTTGTAAGAAAACACATTGACTTTATAGAGAGAATCTGGCGATATTGCAAGCATATGAAAATAATCTTTTTACTAAGATTCTTGTCTAACTTTTTCACTTGATCCAAAAATAACATGAGTGTTCAAAGGCTCATCAATCATTTATCATTATCAAAAATAATATCTCACCCATTTTCGGGTGACTCACACGTTCTTATTTACTTAAATGTCATTCATTGTTATTTATTATTATCTAATGTTATCTCTCACCTTTTTGGATCATTGAATATTATTAGTATTGCTTACATTTACTGTTATTCGGTCAAATATATATACTATTTGCCACAAAATCAATAATCTTATCTTTCGGATATAAATATTAGCTAAGATTGACTCTATTTTACTTAGATCCAATTGGTTGAACCCGGATCTAAATTTTGGATCAAACAAATTGTGTAACTAAAATCACTTAAAATATCACATAATTTAGTCTAAGTATTAAAGAAAATGCCTCATACATCTCCTCCTAGTGACTTTTTGTGATATGTAGGTAGTTCAGTAATTTTTTTGTTATAAAAAAAACACTTCTTCTTTTTTAATTTATGTGACACCTTTTTGTTTTTGGAGATTCAAACCTTTTTATTTTGACAATACATTTGGACATAGAATTTTTTAATTTTTTCAAATAAAATTTACACATAGGAAACTACGTAAAAAAAAATACTATAAGTCATAATAAATAATAATTTAAAATATTTAACAAGCATACAAAAAATTACGGTCAAATATGTGGTTACAAATAATTCAGCTATAATAATAGAAATTAGACGTAATACGATTTTAAATAGAAAACTTTCAATCATTTTAATTTGTTTGAAAGGAGAAAAAAAGAAAGTAATATTGATACCCAATTCCTGCAAATAAAGCAAAAATAACTCCCATAGAAAGTATATAACGAAAATGTGCAACCACATAATAAGTATCATATAGGGCAATGTTTATCACAGAATTAGTCATAACTATTTAAGTGAGTTCTCCTACGATGAACAAAAAGATAAACCCTATAGCAAATAATAAGTGCTTCATCCGTTCACTTTTAATTGTCCAATATATTAAAAATATATTTTTACTTTTACTTATCTATTTTAACGGTCTATTTTAACAAATAACGAGAAAGACAATTTTTTTCTCACCTCTCAAAACCTACTCATAATATAATTAAATACAGTACTTAAAATTTGAGTGGGACGGCTCAATTTGTCTCTTTAAAATATTGAAAACCCAATAATGCCCCTAGCTAGGGTTTTTTCAGGAGACACTTTATAAAAGGGGTTAGAGATGCAAAAGCCGTTAGTAGTTTCCTTTCTCAAGCCCAACCTATAGTTGCACCAGATGCAAGTTACGTTGTTCTTCCATTTCTGTGATTTGTCCAAAAGGAACCATTAAACTTGCACTGGGTACAACTGTAAGCAGGACTTGAGATTGACTTTCACCCCATGATCTAAGCTCAAAGAAAGATGTTAAGACTGAGTAAGTTACAGAACGAGTATGCCCAACACTTTTTCTTGAGCCGAGGTTCTTCGGAAATTAATTTTTCTACCGTCATAAGGTAGGAGTATATTTTATCCTCTCCAGACCCTACTTGCGAGATTACATTAGCTTTGTTGTTGTTGTTGTTGTTGTATATATTGTTCGAGTGAAGTATAAATTCAGTTAAGATTCGATGATTCTCCCCGGCTATGCAGCCTCACACGGGTAGAGTTTGGTATTCCTTTGTCGATGTTTGCTCAACGGATAAAAGTTACTCTAAGGATAACAAATTGATTTTCCTCTATTTATATGTCTAGATACCTTCCTTTTTCATTTATTTAATTGTTTCTTACAATACAATGAATTAAAATTAATTGATAAACTTGTTACAGCTTGCTGCAGGGTACAAGAAAGAAGCTGTCTTTGAGATAGACCTCAAGTACACAATCTAATCTTAAATGGGCAAATCTTTGTGTTTTGGAATCTAACCAGACATTCAATTTAATGACATCTCAATTGGTATTTACACGAATGTGTGAGTTCAACTATTATTGTCTTTTATTCTAATTTTGGAAAAGAAGAGAAAAAGGAGTTTATATCTGACATCGGTTTTTGAAATACTAATGTGGTAAAGAAGGTGTAACTTAATGAAAATTGTGTAGTTCACTCACTTTTGACTCAATTATACCGTTGTATTTATTTACTAAGTATTTATTTTGGCAGTCTTTCTGGAAAAAGAGAAACTTGCTCAGAATTTCTTGAATTTTATTTTGGAACTTGGGCAATAAGTTGTTGCTCAACGTGTCAAAGAAACTCCAATTGGTAATAAAAAGTACGGAAAAGGATCAAAGCTGTCCTTTTGCCGTACCAAATAGAACAATTATTTAACGTTGGTAGCATAATTGACCCCGCCGTGACTAAATGGGCTCATTCGCCGTGACTAAATGGGCTCATTCCTACCCTTCTCTGTGAGTTGCGGATCTAGAAATTGAAGTGTATGGGTTCCTATCGTAATTTTAAGTCAATATATTACAATAATCGAATTAAGGAACGAGTATCAATATCCAACATATATTTAGAAAATAACAAAACACTTAAAGATAACATATGAATATAAACATTATCATTACAATTGTACTCGGACAACTTGTCATGTTTTGAAAACGATCAATGATCGTATCATTAGGTACACTTTCAAATACTTCATCCTCTATATAACAAACTAAACAATCATTAAAAAATTCATCACCAATTTTGCTTCGCAAGTCATTTTTAACGTACTTCATCGAAGAAAAAGCTCTTTCTACCGTTTGCAGTAGCGACAGACAATATCATACTTAACTTCACAAGCAAATAAACAAGTCTCCAAGTCATGTGCAAATTTGTTTTAACCAATGTCTTTGAAAGATCTCCAAGTCTTTTCAAGTTAGAGAATTCATTGCCTGCCTCTCACACATAGTCAATATAGATGTCAAGCTCAAAACTAAGATCCTCAAGCATAGAATCGGTCAACTCATTCGGGTAGTGTGTAGCAAGTTTCATAATCTTGTCTTTATCATAATTTGCAAAAGAATTATCTGGACTCAAACTAGCCATACCAAGAAGTAGATCAATATTCACTTTATTGAAACGATTGTTAAGCTCCGAAAGTTGCAAATCAATAATAGCATAGAAAACCTCTACACGCAAATGATAAGAATATGTAACACTTGATTTCTTACGCTTTGACTTTCCACGAACATAATTCATATCCATTTCGGGGATCATAATACCATGCTTGACACAAAATAAAGAGACGTCTCTTATCAAAGAATTCCATCTAGAATCTATCATATCGCAATTGTCTCTTTGCGAAACCAACAAGCTTCATTGCACTTACAATATCTTGATCTTTTTTTTGCAAAGCCATATTTAAATCATATGTAAGTGCCAATACTTTCAACATTAAATGTAACACATACACAAAGTCATAGGATCTTATGTAATCCACTAGACTTTTTGCCATTGATCTCTCATGATAATTTGAACCGTCAATTGCAAGAACTCCAAGTACATGAACAATTGATGAGAATAAACTAATAAAATTACGCAATGTCTTAAAATGAGAACCCCACCGAGTATCACCTGCCCTTTGAAGTCCAAGTTCTTGATTTAAACCACTTCCTGTATGAACTTCACCAAGCACTAGTAGTTCCTCTAATTCTTTTACTTGATCATCTCGAAGCATCTCCCTACGATTAAAAGAACCCCCAACAATATTTAAAACATTTGCAAGAATATCAAAAAATTGTTCGGTCTCATAATTTTTTTTGCAACAGCTACAAGAGTCAATTGCAATTGATGAGGAAAACAATGTATGCAATATGCTGAAGGAGTATCATTCATAATCAAAGTTTTAAGACCATTAACTTCTCCCTGCATGTTACTAGCTCCATCATAACCTTGTTCCCGTATTTGAGATTTACTCAATGAATGTTCCAAAAGCAAAGAATAAATTGCTTCTTTTAATGACTTTGCAGATGTATCTTTAACATGAACAATGCTAAGGAATCGCTCAATAACTTTACCCTCTTTGTTGACATAACTTAAAATAAGCGCTATTTGTTCCTTATGAGAGACATCCTTAGACTCATCAACCAATATCTCAAAGTAATCCACGTTCAAGTCTTCAACAATTGTTTTCAATGTTTCTTTCGCACAAGAACTCACAATATTTTTTTGTATATTTGGACAAATCATAATGTCATTTTTTGGAGCATTTTCTAACACAACTTTCTTTACATCATCCTTCTTATTTGCATACCACTTTAAGAGATCCAATAAGTTGCCTCTTCTTGTAGAAGTTTCACGTTCACCGTGACCCCGAAAAGACATTCCTTCTTTCAAAAGATACCTTGCAACAACAATTGAGTCATTCAGGCGAACCCGATACTCACTTTCGTTTTCTCGGATTGCTTATTAAAAGATGTTAAAATAGATTGTGCTTGATTCGATAAATTTAGCATCATCTTGAAATACCGATTATGAATACTATTCACTTCACCCACATGTGCGTTAAACCTCTCTATACCTGAAGAGGTTTGCGGCTTGAAAAATCTCTTGATCATATCGAGTCTCACTAAAATGCCCTACAAATCATAAGACACAAATTAAATATTACAGATGAATATAAGAGGAAAATAGTTAAGAAATATTATTTTATATAATATAATATAAGAGAAAAATAGTTATAAAAAAAAAAGATGAAGGAAGGAGAGGACCTACAATGGATCACTGCTTGTCTTTGATAGGCAACAAAAGAAAAGTCAAGATTGAAGAAGAACGAAGGTCGAAGAACCAGTGGCTTGCAAGATTGAAGAAGAACGAAACCCTAACTCTTTTTTTTTTGTTTTGGGGACATTTTGATGTGGTTGTTTCTTTTTAGGTTCACTTTAGTCATCTATTATTATTAAAAAAATAGACTAAAGTGGAAGTTGTACTAACTTGAAAGGGAGCAATATTTGTCTGTTTGATGTTTTTTCTTAGTGGAAGTACTGCTCAAAAACTTTGGTTTTTGTCTGTTTAATAAAAAGGACTTATGGGGACTCGAACTTGCATCAGCAAGAAGGGAAGCGGGCCACATCCGGGTTCCAAGATTTACCATTGGACCAGAAATGCATTTTGGAACTGGGTTCCCATATAATTATTGTTATATATTCAATAGATTTCTTAATACAAATATAGGATCTACACAAAAGCTACTGGGTTCCCGAGAACCCATACATAATACTGTATGTCCGCCCATGTTCTCAGTAACAGATCCATTTTTTTGAATATTTTTGAATTCCAAAATTTATTTTTCTTATTTTTTATATCCATGTGGCACTAAAAGTTCCCCCATTTCATACCCCACCATTCCCCACTTATATACCATATTTGATCAAGCTTCTCCAATTCAAGAATCACTTTTTTTCAAAAGAAATATTTTTTTTCCAAAGTTTGAACTGTATGGCCAAGCTTTTGAATAGAAAAAAAAAAAATTTTGCAGAGAAGTAGAAACAGTTTTGGATATTCAGAAAAAATAGTTTCTCTCCAAAAACACTTTTTTTAAAATCACTTTTGAGAAAAATACACTTAGAATCAGTTTTTTAAAGTTTGTCCAAACACTAATTGCTATTAAGAAGTGCTTTTCAAATGAATTATCCAAACAAAATTGATTCTCACCAAAAGCACTCGTCAAAATAAGCTGAGTTTTGCAGTTTCACCAAGCAGGCTATTAGTATTTACCATACCAGTTCTTTCTTCTCCGTTGAGATGAGCTCTAGCATAATTCACCATTGAAAGGGGAGGGGTTCAGGTAAGTCGGGTAAGGCAAGGGGAGGAGGGGGGAGAGGGGGTAATTCGAGACGTGGCATTTTAATTAGATTAAAAATAGGATTGGAATTTAAAAATACAGAAAATAAGGTCGTTAGTCAAAAAGGGTAGGAATGAGCTCATTTAGTCACAGCGGGGGCAATTATGCTACCAATTATAATTGTTAATTGTTCTGGCCATTTTCCGTAAAAAGTATCAACCACACATGATATTGAGGACTTCTACAATTGACTCTAACTAGTGGCTGAGTTGTTATAATGACTCTAACATGTCTCTGAAAAGAGAAAAGTGAACACCTAGAAGGAAATGAGAAAAGAGAAATTCCACAAAAAAAGAAATTCCGAATAGAGCAAAATATATATTCATAGAAGTTTTTTCATACCGCAATTTTAACTTTTAATCGAGGTACGTGCACGAGTTGATAGACAGTTAGAGGGAGACAATTGCTACCAATAAAAGAAAAAAAAGGAACCACATTTAAGGAAGAGAGTCTGGGACCCGACATGAACGACATTCCCATCCTCTGAAAAAATGCTAGGAACTACGGACCGTTTGTCCATCAAATTTTGCAAGATTTTGAAAAAAATTCCAAAATGAATTTTTCAAAATTTTCAGAAATTTTTATTTCCCCACTCATAAAACTGCAATATTTTTCAAGTGAAATGCATGTCCAAACATAATTTCAAATTCCAAATATCATTTTTCAACATAACTCCAATTACTACTTTTTTTTCCAGAAATTACAATTTTTATGTCCAAACACCTACTAAGATGCTTCAAATAGGCTATGTTGCTTTTGACCTCCAAAACCACAAACTTCAAAAGAGTAAATAGGTAATGCACATGCAGCAACAATAATTATTTGAAGTTGTGTCCATCTACATTTTTCTCCAGGACATTGTTTTCCTGGGAATGATCTCTCTATCCATTTGGCTTTGGCCAAAAGTATAGCCATCATTCCCTACAACGCATAAGGATAGTTTTTCACCACTTCCCATTTAAGTGACAGCATAAGATGATGAGAACTTGATGTCTCAATGATCATCTGTTTAACTTTTACGTTGGTTGGTTTTCTCCAACCATTACAGCTAATTAGTTATTTATTCATTGGAAGAACATGGCAATATCTAACTCATTCTTGTTACACGTTAGCAAATCTGTCTTTCAACATCTACCTCAACTTAAAAATTACAGAGACAAGAAACTGTTGAGTCCAGTCAACAGCAGCTAAAAAGTGCAAAGATATTGGCCACGAATGCTATGTGCTGTCTATAGACTAGTCAAAATGATGATTAATTTACCTCGTAGCTCTTGCACTGATTGATGAATGGTAATTGGTGCTTCTTTCGTTTCTGTAGGAAGAGTAAACATCATCATATTGACTCGACTCATTTGGATTAGCTGTGGCTCCAAGTCCTAACCGCGCGGAGCTATTCAATCCAGGTTTTTGCTCTACACTTCCAGTCCCAGTTTCAGGGTCAATTTGGAGATTCAGAGGCGGAGGGATGCAAGCACCTCCCTTACGAACAGGAGGCTCTCTCTCATGGTCGTCATAATCATTGGCTGAATCAGATGGTTTAACAGGACCTTCTGATGGATTAACTTCTCCAATCTCCCTAAAAAATTTGGACACACTCTCCAGAATCTCAGACTCCGACACGGTGGAGGGTGGTATAACGGTGGGGATATCCAAAGGGCTCATGGGAGAGTAAGGCACCCCACTACCAATCTGCATCTTCCTGACCATACCAGGAATAAGACCAGGAGGAAACAATGGGTATGGAGGCAACTTTACGCCTACATTTGCAGTTGATGCTGGCATGGGATGACCTGCAGCTTGTAGATTTCCTTGTGGAACAGAGGACGGCACAGGCATCAACCCAGGAAACCCAGTGGGTGGAACTACACCAGGATGAAATTGATGTGCTGCCGCAGATGGCATTGGAGGAACTGCTTTATCTTGATTGGCTAGATTAGGCATTGGAAGCACCTGCTCGTCAGGCTTCCACTGTAAAGCACTCTGGTATGCTACCTGGTGTGACAATCCTAAAAACCCGAAAAGAAAAGGATAATAAGAAAATCAGCCATGAGTAATTGTTCAGATTGGCCAAAAGAAATAGATAACAATCGAAAGACAGTCTTTCAGTGATTACAGCTAGATTAGCAGCACAACTACCTGCAGCAACAGAAGGATCTGCAGCCAGTAGTTCCCTTTGAGGACCAGCAAAATTTGAAGGCAGCCCACTCATCATCTCATTTTCAAGTGCACGAATTGTATCCTGATCATAGACTTCCTTGGAGCCCCAAAACTGTAAAATTTTCTGCAGCCGAGACTGATTTTCTTCCTTGTTTTGAGGATTGTGATATATCCTCGCAAGCATGGGACCCAAAACAGGCTTAAAAGCAAGTGCCTCATTGTCAAGCTCATGCGGATTGATTCG